GGGGGGCCCCTCTGCCACTTGGGGCTAGCCAGGGCGCGCTGCGGCCGGGGGATGGAGGGAACGGTCCTGGGGATAGGAAGGGCAGAGATGTAGAAGACAGACACCCCTTTCCCTCGGGACCTGGGGTTCATCTGTGCACTGTCTCAAGCTTGCAGTGTGGGTCCCCGGTGCTCGCCACTACTGCTCGCTGTTTGGTGCCCGCGGGGCACGGGGCGAGCGGACACCTTGGCCCCTAAGGCGCTCCGGGCTGCGCGGCCCTTCAGGCCACTTGTTATTTTTTGCGCGCAGGCTTTGGTATTGGGTGTTTAGACAGTAATGGAATAGTTTTGGAAATGGGTGAAACGTTGGATTGTGCACTGGTACTGTTTAATGTATTAACCGAAAGGGAAGTGGGACAGATACCTTGGGACCTTTTGTTCGGTACTTCGGGTCCTAGAAAGAGAGATTTGGGTTTTCAGTTCCGAGGGCTCTGGGATCTTCTCGCTGCTGGAGGACAACGAGCTGCTCTCTGAAGAATGTCTCCCTAACGAACTTGTTCTATTTACTAGAAATCAGGGACTATTGTCTTTAAACCAAGCAAATGACCAACTGAAACCGACCGAGGGATGCTTAAAACACTGAAGAATAAATCCGTGTCCCGGACTATAACAGGGTGACAAACGTGTCACGTGGAATGTGGTTGGTTCGATTTTGAGTGTTGGCAGTAAAAAACAAAAACAAAACTCCTTTTCACCTGAGATGTAGCCGACTCTTCTACTGTCATAACTTTCCTTTATACAGATAATTGCTCTTAGCAAGGCACAAAAAAATAACCCCTCCTGGTCCCAAAGAAGCCTTCCAGCCTTTGTTTCTCTTGTTTAACATGTCATCCATGTTAATGAAGGTATTAATGGAAATTAAACGTAAAATGCTTAATTCCTTAAAATTAAACCCTGGAGGGCACATGAGTGTTACACTCACCCTCCCACCCATTCATTGTCAATTACGCAAACTTTCTCCAAGTGAGAGAACGCAAGGGTCAAAATTTTTTTTTTTTGGGTCTTAAAATCTTGTGTTGGTGTCCAAAATCTCTCCCCAGGTGATCATCAAGTTACGTTCTGAAATGGATATTTAGTCCTGGTTTTATTTATTGCATTTGTCAGATATTTGCAGTTTCAGTTCTCAGAGTTAGGGATGCACATGAGGAGTCCCTACATTCAGATGAAGTTTGGAGCCAAGAAGAATGTGAGCGAGGAGGTGTGGAGTTGTGTGCATTATTAACAAGGATGTTTCAGCCTCGGACCCCAACCATCACCGAGGCCAGTTCTGGAGACCATTAAGCTCTGTTCTCAAACACATTAACTGTATATTTACTAATGCTAATGACTCTGTTGGAGTCCCTCCAGTTTTCTGTTAAATAATTCATTGCAATTGAGTCTCAGTTAGAAACCAAAGACATTAATGTAAAAATTCCTTATGTTTAAATAATTCCAAGGTTTTGATCGACAATCAGTAAAATTTGGATTAACTACAGTGCTGGCGAATGGGGTATTACAGTTAATTGGATTTCCTAGCTTACTGAGATTTAGTGATGTGAAACTCCTTTTGAGTCCAACTCTTGTTAAAATGTCTTCTAAGATCTAATAGATTTTATATCCTCCCTTTAGGAGACAGAGTACAGTGCAGTGAACATAACTGATTATTTCTTGTATTGATGGAGGGTCATGATTCTGAATAGCAAATCTCATTGTGGAATACTGTCAAAGGAATAGATATTGGAGTTTCATGTGATTATAGTTGTGCATCATGCCCAGGACGTTCATTACAAATAGCATTACGGAAAAGCACATTTTTCTTACGTGCTTATTTTCTTGATTTTTAAATTTTATTTGCAAAAATCAGAAGTGATGAAGTCATTCTGATTACTTAAGAATTTTTCAGGCACCAGACATAGTTAAATGGAGGGTTTTCTGTGGGATCATATATGAGTTAGCATATGAGTTAGGAATGTGGACTGGGTGTCAGACCAGAATTCCTGGTGTTGCCACTGCTACCTAGGTGACCTTGGACAGGTCCCTCAACTTCTCCGAGCTTCAACTTTTCAGTTACGGCCCAGTGTTGTTGTTGGCACTTGTAAAGTAATGCATATGCTGTCCTGTGTGGCTCATAATAAAGACTCAGTAAACCTCCACAGTGTGTTGTTATTATTCTTACCATGGATTGTGTCGTAGCTACGTAACTGATCTCGTGGGTAGAGGGTAAGAGAAGGGGGAGGGGTGACCACTGACTTTGCAAGATAGCCAGACTGAAAACAGGATGTGTTTTAAAGTCAAGCAAGCCTGGGTTTGTACCCCATTTTCACTGTGTGCTATGTGCCTTGGGCAACCTGTAGAATTTCCCAAAACCTCAGATCTTTATCTGTAAGGTCATTGGGAAGATTAAATTGGATAAAATATGTAAACTATCTAGTGTAATATCTATCACATGGTAAAGATCAGTACTAGAGGCTGTTTATCCCATCTTCTTTTCTCCTTGGTACTTCATGAGGAGATCAAAAGGTCAGTGGCTTATTCTTGTTGAATGATCCCACATCACAATGTCTTTATGCTCTTTAATCAATCTTAAAATGGCTTTGGAAATAAACATACAAAACTATTTTTTGGTGTGATTCACTAGTGTATCTTCTTTTTTTGGAGATGTTTTTGCTATAGGGCATGTGCACTTGCTAGAAAGACAGAGAGACAGAAAGTGAGAAATCACCCCCCCAGGGGGATGGCCACACTGCAGTCTCTTCTCCTCCATTCTCCTCTCGGAATCTTGTGCATGCATGCACATGTGCCCTGAGTGAGTTTAAGCCACCAGGTCTGGGACTCGAACTGTGGTTGACTACATGGGAGTCCAATGCCATTGGCTGGTCCCTAATAGTGTATCTTCTTATATGTGAAATGTATAATATCATTAGCCACCAGACATTACTAATCATTCGTCTGTAGAAAATGAGGACAATATTTGAAAGTATGTGAAATTCAGTCAATGTTAATTACTAATAATAATGATTTGAATTGGCAAAAGTAGCAACGTTAATGTTTCATTTCCTTACACATCTGAAATTATGCTGACTTCGTCACTGCCCGCCCCAAATACAGCTGATCTGAGATTACTACATTATAAAAGGTCTAGTAAAACACATTTGCTTCCCAGCCATTTCACTCTAATTTACAACATCTGCCAGGGAATGACTGTAATATAGCTATGGTTCTCTTATAAGATGGGTGTAATTGAATTTTAAAGTCACCCATAGATTTCAGTAGTGAGTATTTGTGTTTTCAATGGAACAATGTGAGCATGGTCACTCATTAAGGAATTGCAATTGTCCCACACATTTTTTTTTAAACTAGGTAACATAAACAAAGACAAATAGGAACTTAATAGTTGAGTAGTTTAAATAAAAATTTAGTTCCTATTTTCTTTCTTTGTTTCTGGACTAGGAGGAGAAATGCTTTGTGTAAAATCCAATATAGGACTGAGGTCAAACTGATATTTTTTTCACACTCATTTGAATTAGCTTCTTCACACTTATTTGGATTTTCTCCCGGAGAAAGGAAATTTATGTTATTTGAGGTGAATCCCATGTATAGCATTTCTTTAAAGGATGTGGTTTGTGAGAGATCTGAATAAAAGGAAGAAACTGTGATTACACTAAATTTTGAGGTTTCTTACCTTGTGCTGTTAAGCGTGTATCTAGGGTTCAGTTGTCACTTGGGTTCATTTTGTCAAAGAGAAACATAAACTTAGAAGTTCAGACACAAAGTTGACCTAGTGTACCATAGCCTCTCCCAATGCAGTTTCAAAAGATTTTAATTAAAAAACTCCACAAGTGGAGTGCTATCTATGTCCCTTCATAAGAGAGAACAGCATATGTTTTTCAGATGCCAGAGCCTGAGTGTGTCTTAACGTACAAGATGCTATCTTTCTGCCATTGAGAATGGTACAGCATCAGCTGTTGTTCTTATTGACGCGTTGCTTAGGACCCATGCATTCAACAGATACTGAGGACCTCCTTGGTGCTGTTTACTGGCCTGATACTCAGAGTGAGTGGCCAACATAACCGGTTTCTGTTCTCAAGGATTTTAGAAGAAGACAGGCCAAATGAACGGGCAGTGACAATGTAACATGACAAATTCTGCAGGGAAGATTGGAGAAAGTTGCTGTTGGAGGAGCACCCCTTTCATCTTGGTGAAGTCAAGGGGAAGCTTTCTAGAGGAAGCAGTGTCTGAGCAGAGGACTGAGTAGACTATCTGATCATCTTAAATTGTGTCATATATGTTCTTTGTTAATCCAGAATGATGCAATATGCTTGTTTTCTCATGATATCCTTGAAGATGGTTGCTGGTGTACATTTACATAAATGATTAATGACAATCAGGGAATACAATCAATAACTAGATGTTGTGTGCTTGTTTAGGTCAGAGCTTATTCATCAATGACCTGATAAGTGTCAGACAAAGACACCTTTAATTGGTTTTTATAGTCACTCTTAATTGCTGTTCAGGGCAAGGATTCAACGTTTAGAAGGAACCATGTAAAGGTGTCACTTGAGCAATGAAAGATTTCAATGAAATAATGGGCTTCTTGGTCTTAAAATGTTCTCTCCTGAAAACATTCCCCCCTTAAGAACTCTCTCCCAGCTTGGCAAATATTGTGCAGGGGAGAGAATCTGACTCCCTCCGCCTTATATATCTTAGCAAATACAATTTCATCTATTTAGTTCTTGTCTTGCTACCTCCATACCCCATCTTTATTCAGAATGTTGGGGACGGGGGACCAGAATTTAGGAGGCAAGAAAAAATGGTCCAGTTTAGATGTTCAAGACATTCCAGTTTTCTGCTCTCTTCATTTCTCATCTGCAGGGTCTTCATTCCAGGTTGACTGTCCCCCAAAAAATGAAACCAACTGTCGTTCTTATTGATGCTTTGCTTAAGAAAGTACATGGCTACATTTTCAGAACTTTTATAATGCCCAGTGTTAAAATGTTCAGAAGGTTGTGCTGTGAATAATAAGCTTGCTGCGGTAGCTTTATGTATTACACGACGGTCGCATGGGATGTTCAGTGAGCTAGGTGGGAGGTTGTACAGGGACTTGCTTCTGTATGACTTGGTACTTGAAATTAATGAGCTACTCATTTCTTATTCCAAAAACTTTAGGTTTTTAGATGTAATTTGACTACATTTAGAATCATATCTCTAATATTTTGCAAAAATCTCAGTCAATTATGTTAATGAAAGGACACACCTTGGGTTGAGGGAGTAAGGAGTAAAGTCTAGTACCATCGTTGGCTGGTACTTAAAGAGTTTTCTAGACTAAAGTTAAATGCTAGTGAAAATGAAGCCACTGAGAATCATCTAGGAGTGTATATCTTTTTACTAAAATATTAGGGCATTAGAAAAATCATGACCCAGGACCAGCGGCGTAACGGTTACATAGCAGGACTCCCATGTAGTAGATCGTGGTTTGAGTCATGGACCTGGTAGCTTAAAAGTCATGCTGGGTGTGTGTGTGGAGAATGGAGGAGAAGGGATTGAGGCATGGCCATCCCCCTGGAGGGTGATTTCTTGCTTTCTGTCTCTATGTCTGTCTCTGTCTGTCTGGTGAGCACATGCACCCTATAGCGAAAACCTCTCCAAAAAAAAAAATCATGATGCATTTTTTTCATAGAAAAAAATATGTCATGAATTTTCTTATTTTAAAAATAAAGTTAAAAAAATTTCTATGAAAAAAATGCATTGTGATTTTTCTTTTTTTAAAAAAGAACTATATTATTTAACTTTATTTAATTTAGTTTGACCAGAGAGAGACAGAATGAGAAAGGGAGAGAGAGAAAGTGAGAAAGCAAGCTGCTGTGTCCAGGACTCGAACTGCAGTCAGCCAGGTGGGAGTCTAGAGCCCTTAACCACCATGCCACCTGTTGGTCCTGTCATGACTTTTCTGCCAACCCAATAAGTTATTGTAGATTTAATGCAAGTTAAGTCAAATACATAATAAAACACGTGAAAGTAATTGATAACATTTGAGACTGGAACAAAACATTGACTTTTTTTTTAAATTGTTAGAGTGTGTGTGTACTTGCTAGAGACAAAGAAACAGGGAGAGGGAAGAAGCACACTCCCTAGGGGGCTTGGTCATGCTGCAATCCCTACTCTCCTTCTCCATTTCGTTGTGATTTGGGGCACACAGGCACACGTGCCTCGTGTGTTATTTTCTTTTTTTCTCCCCAAAGGTTTTTTCCATAGGGTGTATGTGCTCTCTGAACAGAGACAGAGAGAGACAGTGAGAACCCCCCCCCCCAGGAGGATGGCCATGCTGCAGTCCATTCTCTTCCATTCTCCTCTTGGGATTTTGGGCACTTAGACACACTACACCTAGCATGAGTTTCAGACTGCTGCATGTGGGACTCGAACTGCCTTTGGCCATGTGTGAGTCCAGTGCCTTAACCACCATGCCACCTGCTGGCTCCTGTTTGGTGTGTTTTTCAAGCCACCAGGGCAGAGACTTAAACTGTGCAGTCAGCCATGTTGGATTCAGCTTCCTTTACCACTAGACCAAGGGAGTTGGCCCAGGACTGACTTTATTTTCCATTCAGAGGAAATTGTTCTCTAATTAAAAGTAAAGGAATCTATTACAGGGGCCAGCAGGTGGTGTAGTGGTTAAGGTGCTGGACTCCCACATGGTTGCCTACAGCCCCGACCTGGCAGCTTGAAACTCATGCTGGGTGCGTCAGGATCCCAGGAGGAAAATATATGAGAAGGGATTGCAGCATGGCCATCCTCCTCAGGCGGTGATTTCTCACTTTCCTTCTCTCTCTGGAGAGCACATACACCCTATGTCAAAAATGTTAAGAAAGAAAGAAAGAAATCTATTACAAATCAGTTTCTTTGGCAAAAGGAAAAGACTTAAAATCAAACTTTTAGGAATGTTTCATCTCCCTCAGCTTACCCATATTTCCCTTAACCTACCACCAAACCACACATTTCTTGATATTATTGAAAGGCAAATTTATAATATGAAAAAGACAAAATAGGTTTTGTTTTGTTTTGTTTTGTTTTTTAAGGTTTTTGTCACAGGGCATGTGAGCTTGCTGGAGACAGACAGATAAAGGGACAGTGAGAAATTATCCTCCAGGGAGGATGACCACACCACAGTCCCTCTTCCTCCGCTCTTGTCTCAGAATTTTGGGCATGCATACGCATGTGCCTTGTGTGATTTTCAAGCCATCAGGTCTGGCACTAGATCCATAGTTGACTATGTGGGAGTCCAGCATCTTAAGCACCATGCCACCTGCTGGTTCCCAAAGTCACCTTTTCAATATTTCTTGAGTATGTAAAGTTTGTATTTGATAGCTTTAGTTTAGACATATTATTCTTCTCAGATTTTAATTGCCAAAGTAATTTACTTTTCTTAGAACACAGCTTTTCAAATAATAGCATACTTCTATCCAGACTTGAACTGTCTGGCATAGACCACCAAACACCTCTTCGTAGGTCATATCCTCAAACATTTCTTGGTTTCAGATAAATTAATTACTTTATGTATTCTTAATGTGAAGCATTTAAAATAATTATAGGATTTAAGAAGCTTGCATTTGCTGATTCTAAGTCAAGTTCTTTTGTTTAGAGAGATTAAATTCCAGTTCTGAAGCTATATATATTTAAAATAAGTTTGAAATATTTGCTGGTTTCTATATTCTGAATGTATTGTTTTCTTTGGAAATACTTTGTTATAAAACTTACCATGTTGACATATTTTCTTACTACGCAGTGTTTGTCTTTTTGCTTTGTCTTTTTTAAAGATTTTTGCCATAGGACACGTACATTTATTGGATAGAAACAGCAAAAAAACAGTAAGAGGGAAAGTGAGAAATCACCCACCCATCCCCTCAGAGGGGGAGTTGGCCATGCCACAATCCCTTTTCCTCCATTCTCCCAGGATTCTGGGCCTGCATATACACATACCTGGCATGATTTTCAAGCTGCCAGGTCTGGGACTTGAACTGTTGTCGACCATGTGGGAGTCCATCATCTTCATGCCTATATCACCTTCTGGCCCCACTATGCACTCTTATTTTATATGTTTTGTCTTTTATCACCATTCTTAAACTTCTCGTTATGAAAGTGTCATTCCAGGCACTATGCGGAGTGAGCGTCATTCTAATGATTAGTTTGGGAGTTCCATGTACCACCCATGATGGTACATGCTCAGAAACCAGGAGTTTCAGGAGAGTCACAAAGATTACCTTGTGATTCTTTTATACTTTCATTAAAGCATGCTCCAACTAAAAAAGAGAGGGGAAAGATGTGCATGCTTCTTTTCCATATTTGGGAGGTTAGTTCAATTTACATATTTATGAAAAATGTTTCACAAATATGCATGCTGTGCGATTCTTTCTCATTTGCAGTTTTTGTATTTGTATCATAACATTGTTATTCAGGTTGGGGTACAATTTTACTTTTTGAAATGAAAACACCATACTGCCTGTTTTCCCCCCCTGCTTTCTAGAACTTAGAAACTTGGTCTCTTTGGAATGCCTTATAATCATTTACTTTTCTTTTTATTTTTTAGCGTTGAAGAAAGATGACACCACCTTTGATGAGGTAGGTTAAATTTCTTTATCTAATGTCAGATGTATTTAATTACTGCCAGGAAAAATCTGTAGGTGCCAACTTCACACTTAGAAATGGGGAAAAAAAAAAGGCAAACAAACAAGATGATATCTGTTTGTTTAGTTGCATTATATTACTTTCAACTGTTTTGTAATTGTTCAAATGAATTTTGGTGACAATCAAGATAAATATATCTTTAAATAAATGAATAAGCCAATTAAAAGGCACATGCAGGCCTCTGTGTGTTGGTGGTGGTGGGGCTTGTGAAGCCCAGTGTGATGTGTGTGCCTAGGGGAAGAAAGTCTTAAGTTGCATTGAGTTGGGGGCCATCTTTTACAAACCGCAGCCAAATCAGGGCCGTGATGTGGCTTTGACGCCACATATTGTCCATCTGTGTCCCAGAGGAGCTGACTTTTCCTGTTCTAGTCTTCTATTTTCCCCATATCAGATCTGTCTTTATCTCCTTGCTACAAAGTAATAAAATAGCCTGTTCAGGTAAGCCAGAGGGTTCTTGTGCAACTAATAGAATCCTGCATGTGATTTTTAAATTGTATCCTTTTCTACATTTTTGTGGTATAAGTGGGAGTTACCAGATAAATAATGTATGTTTACAAAATGCTTTTAGAGAGCTTAGAGCGGAGTGCTTCATTGTAACCGTCCAAAGCCACAGTCATTGGTCTGGGTTGTAAACTAGGTCACAATCATACATACATTGTGTGTCATTGTGTATGAACACAAATGTACTTATACAATGTATTCATCTCACAGCCAAATGAAAGCATAGCTTAGTTTGGTTTGGTTGGTGCTTGTAACAGTTGCAGATTCCATGAAATATGTTACCTATTCTCAGACCACTGCAGTGCTGCTTTGAAGAAAGGGCTTGTGCTCATGGAAAGTCCCATTGGCCATGTGGCTGGCCTTGGTGTTTGGCCGTGGTGTGCGGCAGGTCTGCTCAGGGAGAACCTGCTCCAGGCTGGGAATTTCTGGATAGGGCCAGCGTCATTTGGCTGTCACGGTCTGTAGCTTCATCTGTCGCACCTGTCCATTTTTTCCTGGGCTGTGCTCTACAAAGCTTTGTGTCCCTGGATTCCAAAGCAGCTTCCTCTCGTCAGCATTCCTGTAACGTCCTCTAAAACTTAATTCTTCTAGATCCAAAGCAATAGAGGAATCTTTTCTTCTCAATCCATAGTAGGCCAAAATAGTGTTCTCCCTCCCACCCCCCAGCCCCCACTCCAAACCTGTATTTCTGGAATTTCTGCAGTGTTGTTAACTGAGATGTTTTCTGGGGAGTATTTTCTTTCTTCTCAGGAGAAATCAATGTAAGAAGAGTGAGCACCTTTTCTCTTTTTATTAAAGAAAGGGTTTCCCTCTAATTATGGAGGTAATTTAAGCTTACATTAAGAAAATAAATAAGGAAAAGGGGAAAGAAAAATCTCCCAAATCCTGTTACCCTGATAAAAATTATTGTTAAATCTTATCGCTTTATTTCCCCTTGTTTGAAAAAGCATAACCCACTATTAGAGCATGCATTTTCCTTCTAACCTATAATATATTTTTCATGTCTTTATAAACTCCTCCTAATCATCTTCAGGAATTTTTTGGGGAAAACCCTCTTTGTTTAAACACCATTGTTAATAATTGTATGTTATTATCTCATGAGATTATATAATTAGCTTAAACGAAACAAAAACTGAGGCTGGAACCCAGATACAGGCTAAGGATGTATGAAATCTGCAGCTATCCCATTTTCCTCTTATTTGGAAACCTCTACGTAGTCAAAAGTCTGAATTTTGTAATTTGGGGCAAAACCATCTTTCCTTCTACAAAGTGTTTTCCTCCTTCTGAGTTACAGGAGATTGGTTAAACACTATGTAAATATCAGAATGCTAGATTTGGAAGAGCCATTGGAAATCATGGTTGTCTCACCTGTCATTTCACAGGTGAAGAAATTGAGACACAGAGGGGCCGGGTAATTTCCAGCTCATCAAGGGTAGACCCAAGGCCAGCTACCCTCTGATTGAACAATTGACTTATTAATTTCAAACCTTTTGCAAAATAGAAATGATAATATAGAGGTCTTCCCAAAGCTCATGGAAAATGTGTATGATCTCCCTGTTAAGGTAGTTGAGATGAAATATGCTAACGTACACAAAGTTCCAGAATAATGGCTGACGTATAGTAAATGTCTCAAATAATTTTGTATTACTTTCAGTGCCCCTGACTTCTTAATATTTGGATCATCAGTGTCTGGCACACTACCTGGCCAAAATGAAGTCAAAATAAATAATTGTTGGAGAAACAAATGGCTCAGCCAGATAGCAGGTGAAGGAAAATTGGTATTTTGGGTCATATTTCAAGTGGACAAAATGTTTTTGGTGACATTGTGCTGAGAGCCTCCAGCAAACGTGAACATTGTATCTATAAAACTATTGCAGAACTTTCCAAATGGCTTCCTCACCTTTTGTCCCCAGTAAATATCCAGGCCATGTCCCCTGAGTGGCCCCATTCTTCTTGGGGCAGTGAACAATAGCCACACTATAAATTCCAGAGGATTTTTGAATCTTAGTTTTTGCTATAGGGCGTGTGCATGCACCAGAAAGCCAGAGAGGGACAGAGAGACAGAAAGAGAGAAGTCACACCCAGAGGGGATGGCCATGCTGCAATGCCTTCTCCTGCACTCTCCC